TATAAAGCTACGGGTAAGTAAAATGTCTATCCAAAGAAAATGATAAAATGCTATCATTTTTACACCACCTGTCATAAGGTAGATAGCATGGTGCGCTTTTTTTATAGTGGTTTCCCCAGTAGGCCTATTCCACTCTAATTTTTTTATGCACAAATTATTCCAAATGCCGTCATTCCTCCGTTGACTACTTTGGAACATTAAAAAATTTATATATATATATTTTTTAAAGATTTATTATTATTATAAAATAGTATTATTATTATTACATGAAAATATATTCGCACGAGTAATATTTAAAAAATGCTTATCAAAATATTGTAAAATTACAACATCCTTCTCCTCATTTTTCTCAATACGTCATTAATTTAATGATGCAGTTAACTCAAGAGGATGTTTCAATTTGACTTTATAATATATTTACTTACATATACGTTAATGTGAACGTTACTTATGTTGAAATAAGTACAGAAATAGACTGATTAACGTTTTGATACACATGGAAGTAAAAAGATAATAAAATGTTATTTAACTCGAGAAACTCGGGGTTGTAATATTCCCATCTATATAGTTGCGACAAAGACTTCACCTTTTTAAAACGATTTTTTACCCATGAAGGAATACCGTCCCTTTTTTATACTTTTCCAAAATTCAACAGCGCTTCTCTTAGCAATCATTAACAATTTCACTTTCTTCTGGAATACAACTATATTCTGCTTGATCATCGTTTTTATCTTCTTCAAGTATTTCTATTTCATAATCGTCGACAAAATCTGCATCGAGTAAGTTTGATTCCCAATAATTTTTAAATTCTAACGTAGTATCAGTATGAACATCACATGACATTTCATTCATTGAACAGTGTATAATATCTTTTATCACATCGCGTAATTCAATTTCTTTATTGTTTACAGGTTTTTCCGGAATTTTTGAAAGCTGAAAAAGGAAAATTAACATATTAGAATATTTGCAGGATTCACTTGTATTATTTTAAAGGTTTGCACTGTTTGACTTTGACTTTGCACTTGAATTATTCGTTATTTCTTGCTAATTATGCCTTATACTGAAATTATTGCAAGAACTTTGTGATTTATATAGTAATTTCAAGTGACTAATAATCAAGTGACTAATAATAATCAAGGACTAATAATATATAAGATGTTTTTCAAGCACGTACATCATATGTGATATAAAAATGACGGTACTGTCGCTTAAATATTTTTGTATGCAGCATTTTTTTGAAGAATATAATTGCGAATATAATACAATTTTTGAAGAATATAATTGCGAATTTTGTCATATAATAATCATGTTAGTATTAATAACGAGATTAACAAGTAGTTTTAAAATTTATAATAAATACATTCATTGCTCTTTATAACAAAAAATGTGCTTATACATAACAGGCAATATATGGTACCGTAACTCATCACTGTTAGATGTCAAAGAAGCAATGGAAACCCTGAATTTCTTGAGTTAAATAACATTTTATTATCTTTTTACTTTCATGTATATCAAAATGTTAATCAGTCTATTTCTGTACTTATTTCAACATAAGTAATGTTCATACTAACGTACGCACGTAAATAAATTATAAAGTCAAATTAAAACATCTTCTTGAGTTAAATGATTTAACTGCATCATTAAATTAATGATGTATTGAGGAAAATAAGGAGAAGGATGTTGTAATTTTACAATATTTTGATAAGCATTTTTTAAATATTATTCGCGCGAATATATTTTTATGTAATAATAATAATATATCTTTTTATAATAATAATAAACCTTTAAAAAAATATATATATATAAATTTTTAAATGTTCCAAAGTAGTTAACGAAGGAACGACGGCATTTGGAATAATTCGTGCATAAAAAAATTAGAATGGAATAGGCCTACTGGAGAAACCACTATAAAAAAAACGCACCATGCTATCTACCTCATGACAGATGGTGTGGAAATGATAACATTTTATCATTTTTTTTGATAAACATTTACTTACACGTAGCTTCATAATAAAATTACCTCTATCTATCATAAATACTTTAAAAATAATAATTTTTTTAAAAAGTTCTGAAAGTTGCGGCCAACATAGAGTTTCGAAGGGTAAAATCATGCCTCATGTGTGAAGCAATTTTCAGCATTCTTCGCTATATCTCGAAAACTATTCAAAATATAAAAAAATGTTTTATACAAAAGTTTTACAATAAAATTACCTCTATTTACTCACGTCAATGTTATTTTTTTTAAATAATTATTTAATAATTTTTTTTCGAAAATTTTGACAAAAAATTGATAAATAATTGTTCTAAAAACGCAAATGAATACAGCTGATTTTGTTATAAAACTTTTGTATAAAACATTTTTTTATATCTCAAATGTTTTTCGAGATATAACGGAAAAAGCTGAAAACCGCTATATACGTTAGAGGTGATTTCACCCTTTTAAACCGTTTCTTAGCTGTAACTGATATTTTCTAAATTCATCTCTTTATGTAAGCTACAAGTTCACAAATTTTCATTAAAATCAAAATTTATCACCTCGAGAGGTTCCCTTGTCAGTTTAGTCCGGTCTGTCTACACACGAAATATTTGGCGGTCATTCTGAGATATTCTATATATATATACATATTCCTATTCTTTTTCTTTTAAAAGAAATTATCTGTATAAAATACCTACAAGTGAATATATATAAGATTTTCCAGAATCTTCACTTCGATATGAAACATTTTTGTTGAATTATATACGTTTTTATTGTATGCTGTTCTGCAAGATGCAAATATGTAACGCGATGGTTTTTCAAGGGCTTTCCCATATATGTACCATTACCTTCAGCTCCGATACAGTTATTTGATACTATAAAGCAACATTACAAAGATTAAGTCAGCTCATGATTTGTTCTACAGACAATTGTGCCGGCTTACGCTGCACTCCGATTTATATTATGATAAAACTAAGAAAGAAAAAATATACTCAAATAAAACTGATTTAGGAAACTACAAGTATTTAAAACGATATAATATTATTAATAATACAGTCACTATTATTTAAATTACTCAATTTGCAAAAAAAATATAAGAATTTTATTTTCGCATTCATTAACGCATTCATCACGCGTCTATTAAATTATTTCAGTCTAAGTTCCAAACTTGACCGACAAGCAGTGCTACATATCATCATGCACGAAGCGAATACATATATCACGGTGCTCTTCCGTTTAACAAAAGAGACAAAAGAAATTTTCTTTTATATCGAGCGACACGCGGCTGGATTTCAATCGAACAAAATCCCAGCGAAATGGCATCCCTGTCACGTTTCAAAATGATCATCAAAGCTGTCTTTCAATTGAGATCACGTTACCCGGATGTTTGAATTCGACCAACGTTACCATCCTCTCTCGCGTTACATCAAAGGGAAAAGTGACGTAGAATATAAGAAAAGCTGATACACACGTCAATACCAGGTCCTTTTTCGCCTTTGGATGGTTGAAACGCGTTATTTTTACGAAAGTCGCTTAAGGGTAAGTATTGAAATAAAAAAAAATTCCCAACAACCTGCCGCGACCAAGGAAAATATAGCCACAGACTAGTATAGCGGAATGAAGTGAAACGATAACTCATGATGCATGTGGCGGAGAAATTCTCACGGGAAATTCTGACAAACAAGTCCTGTTGGCAGTAACGCAACTGGCTCAATGCAAATGCATAAACGTGCACCAAGTTTTATACACGTTGATAGACAGGCAGCGGTTGCCTGCATGAAGAAGGTATTAGTGTTGGGAATACGAATGGTAACTAGAAGAAATGATGCAATATCGAAACTTCGGAGATTATTGATGTACCATGATTCGTTATGTAATATCTTTCGAGTCGCGCGTCTGCGTTTGATATTTATCCTCAATAGTCGTATTATCTTCAAGATTCATATTACTTCGTAATGTAGTGTAAAAATGTTCTCATAGAAATTGTAATAACAGATTACTTAATTTTAAAATAAACAATAAGATTTGGTTACTTGAGAATTCGTTTGCTGTTTACAGGAAATTATTCACTTTTATATAAAAAATTTTCTAATGAATGTAAAAATACATATATAAAACGGCGTATTTAATAATTTTACTGCTGTACAAATTTTCCAGATAAAATTTATTCTGATTGAGAAGTGTGTCGCGTAACCTATAATGAAAAAAAATCTCATTCCCTGGCATTCGCGTGACGATAAAAAATGCACATCGAACAGAAATTCGTTGAAAAATTCCGAGTGTGTTGATACTCGAATGCAATCAATCGGCAATAAATAGCGAAACGAAAAAAGAAATATAACAATGCAGACATTTTTATGAAATCTCATCTCTCTCTCTCTCTCTCTCTCTCTCTCTCTCTCTCTCTCTCTCCTCCCTCCCTCCCTCCCTCCTAAATAAATAAATGATGTGCTGCAAGCGTTGCAGTTTATGTCAGTAAAACAGAAGCTTCAGTATAATGTATGTATATTTATATTTAAAATTTTAAGAAGTATGTTACCGGAGCAATTGAGAGATCAGTTTGAAATAGTAGATAATACGTGTAAAAGATAAACACAACAGGGGACATTGTAGTAAAATTTCGAAATGTAAGAAGTGCGCAGAAAAGTATGTTTATGAAGGAGTGAAAATGTATAACGTCTTACCAGCAAATATAAAAAAATGTGAAAGACTTGAAACGTTTAAGAGAATGTTAAAAATTTGTGTTCGAAATGTAAGTTAAACATGTATCGCAAATAGCTGAGAAAGCTAGTAATAAAGAGCCATCCTTCCCCCTCCCCCCTCTCTCTCCCTCTCTCACCTCCCTCGCTTCCCTCCCCCCTCTTTCCCCCTCCCCCTCTCTCTTCACTTCACATTTTTTTACTACTGTCCCGTCCGCACTACTGTCCATTGTTCCTCGGTAATTCTCTAAAGTAAATAATCCGTAAAACATCATATTTTACGATATTTTATATACTTATAAATATAGCCGCTTTTATATATATAGCACATCCCAAGGTGATAGCGTACATGATGCAGGGCGGATTGCAGTCGTTGCAAGAGGCGGTGCACTATGCCGTACCTGTAGTCGCAATTCCTTTTTTTGGAGATCAGTATTTCAATGCACGTAAAATCCTAGACGCCAGTATCGGACTGACACTGGACATCGACACCATAACCGAAAACTCCATCGTACAAACGCTCACGGAAATCGTCAAAAATAAAACGTAAGTATGACCTGATATTCTAATACAGAATCGCAAAGGTAACATGACCTTTCAAAAAATTAATCCCGACTGTATTTGGCTCTTCGATAGCTATACCATTGAATCGTACTCATTTGTAAAAAGTCTAAACAGAATCGAATGACTTATGGTGTTTTCTTAACAAATTATGTCTTATATGATAAACTAATAGAGGGAGGGCGTCGATACCGTCACACCACTTTATTTTTGGTCTGTATTTCTAAAACAAAAATTAAAAATAAAACTTTAAGAACATAAATACAAATTAGAAGGTATTTCTATCAGATGATCTAATAGTTTTTATAATCCTGTTTGAAACTTTGTAATTAACTTTTATAGTTATAAAGATAGTTACAAAAATCACAAAATAGGTCTAAAACTGATACATTAAGTAATAATGCCATATATTTCTATTTTTCTCCTTTCGCAGGAGTTATCTGTAAAATATAATACCTATAAGAGTTTATGTGTATGAGAATTTCTAGAATAGTTTTACTTCGATCTAAAATATTTTCTTATTCACAAATTTTATGCTGTTGTGCAAAACGCAAACATATAACTCAATATTTACTTTCTTTTGGAAATTTTCCCGTAAATACAAGAATGTCTTTAACTCCGATAGGGCTATTTGATACAATAATACACTATATAAAGATTAGAGTAACTTATGATCTGTCTTACAGACAGATATGCCGCATTTATGCTACACTTGGTCGATTTTATTTTTAAAACTGTACTATAAAAAAAATAAGAGGAAAATATAAATAGAATATAAAACAGATTTAGGAAATTACAAATTAGTATAACATTGTGGATGTCCACTAAGGAGGCCTGATTCGAAGCTTTGTGGTCGGCCGCAGCGTTTCGTCCTGGTCCCACTACTAGACTCGTCAGTAAGGCGATGTAGTGTGGGACTTGCCTTAGACGCGTGGAATGAATCTAGAACGATGTTTTTATTTAAAGGGAATTCGCGTGGCTGCGGTGCTTACGCGAACCGAGTTAGTCCCGTGGACCTCTAGTGGCGAGTCGTCACAACATGATAATATTATCAATATACCCATTACTATTTAACTATACAATTTGCAAAGAAAAATGCATAAAAATGTAATTTTTGCATTATGAAATTCATTTTTATATAGCTAACTTTATATATTAGGTGTTAAACTTAATTCCTGCCGTTTTTCGTCTCCAAAATTGATTTGTTTCGAAGGGAAATACCTTAATCAAAGTATTATTAATAAAGTTTTATTAATTAGTAATAAAGTAGAAAATGGAGGAAATTACTTTTATTAAGGTATTTATTCATTTTGGGATTTTGGGGTCGTTGATCTCGAATCCGGTTTCCAATTTTGCAAATTCAAAATGGCTGAACCAATATGGCGGATGAAAATATCATAAAAATCTTAAAGATCTTTCGATTACGGCCAAATTTCGTATAAGGGAGATTTAGGGGTCGCTGACCTCGAATCCGGACTAAAAATTTGAAAATTCAAAATGGCTGAACCAATATGGCGGACGGAAATGCAAAAAGGCTTACGATTTCAGCGAAATGAAGCATTAGAAGGTTTTCGAAGTCGCTAATGCCGAATCCGAACTTAGAATTCGAAAATTCAAAATATCTGAACCAATATGGCGGACGTAAATGTTAAAAGTCTTCCAATTTCAGGAAAATGAAGCATTAGAAAGTTTTCGGGGTCGTTGATGCTGAATCTGATTTTAGAATTTGAAAATTCAAAATGGTTGTAACGTCCGGTGCGCCTACAATATAGCGCCCCGTTCGTTTACCAAGCGAGCGCGAGCACGGAATATAGCGAACCAATATAATATGTGCCGACTACAAGCGCGTACAGCTATAGGCCAAGCCCCCGAAACCGTCGCGTTCGAACGCCGCGCATACTGCGCCTGCGCCAAAGTATAAAGACTAAAACCAATGCAAGAATGCACTTTAACAACAAACCATCGATACTAAGGGATAAGGAATAATTAAAGATAACAATCGACCTTGACGCAGCTGCAGGGAAAACCCGCAGACTCACGAAAAATTAATAAAAATGCATAACACCAATGCGATGCATCGCCGCGTAACCACGAATGCACCCACCGGTCACAAAAGACCCCTGAATGCGAGGGAAATCATCGCGAATAAAATCAAAGCG